ATTCACATGTTTGCCCATCTACGAAGTACGTGTTACCCGGCTTCGGTGCCGTCATGGGTATCGTGGGATGGTGTAAAAGAGTTATTGTGGGGTCAAGTCAGAGCTAACGACCCTGGACACATCGAACCGGGGAGGGGGGCAAGCAAACGCGCACCTTCCCTAATTCTGATACTTTGCTTGCTTTGAAAGTTTTTTTTCTCTCTTTCCAAGTTAGTGTAGGGTATGTACTACACTTAAAGTCCCAAGCGTCCTCAAATTCCTTTCCTTCCAGGTTTCTGTCTGTTCTTTCCTCTTGGGCAAACAATTTGGGACTTTTAACTGTGTACGCGACACCCGGCCACCGCGAACAGTTTGACCCGAGGTTTTGTTTTCATCCAGGATGATGTCCGACTAATTGTTGTTTCTTACACTCAGACCCTTTTTCGTGGTTGCGTCTCGTACCGCAGTAGACTTTGTTATCATCAAATAATCCTCTGATATCATCCCGGGGAATCAGAATACAATTCTCGCAGTAAACTGCTTGACGCTTCTATCTCTTGTATCTACCTCTCCTCCCGACTCGGCTTCCACCAAACGCTAGCATCCGGTTCCCTTCTTTTCCTCTGATCGGTCGCACAAGGTATTCTTTCTCAACGACGCATATAGGACTTTATCGACATTTCGAGTGTTCGTAGGTCCAGTACCTTGAAATCCGGTCTCACATACGAAAGAAACCATATTGCGCCTCGCACAAAGTCACCTTTTCAGTGATAAACCGAAAAGTGAGACATGGCGTCAGCGGCGCGTGGCAGTCGGGGGACACCGGCCGTTGACAGTTCGACACTCACACATACCTCGGCAGCCGCCTCAGACAACGGCAGCAGTTCCGACAACACGGTCCAAAATAACATCAACAATCCCCAAACCAAAGAGGAGCAAGAGAAAGAGCAAGAGCTCGAAAGAGCCAACGAAAATGCCGACCCAACCGCGCCGCCAACCGACCCACCAACAACGGTCACCGGCCCATCAGCCGCCCCCGAAGAAGGCCGCACCAGCCTCGAAACAACCGCCATTATCCTCGCCCTAGCCAGCGCCCTCTTCCTGGCTGCTCTGGACGTGACCATCGTGACGGTCGCCATCCCCACGATTTCTGAGGAGTTCGGCAGTACAACAGGGTACACATGGATCGGATCGGCGTACCTTTTGGCCAACGCGGCGACGGCGCCCATGTGGGGCAAGATTTCAGATATTTGGGGCCGAAAGCCGATTTTGTTAATGACCGTGGGCGTGTTTTGGATTGGCTCCCTGATCTGCGCGTTGAGCAAGAATATGGGCATGTTGTTGGCTGCGAGGGCGATTCAGGGTGTGGGTGGTGGGGGGATCATCATCTTGGTGAATATTTGTATCAGTGATTTGTTTTCGATGCGGAAACGAGGTAGGTTGTTTTTTTTTTTTTTTTTTTCTCTTTGGGGGATCAAGTGCTTTGGGGACAAAAGCTGACGGTGCTTGCGTGCTACAGGAATCTACTTTGGTGTCATGGGCATGGTCTGGGCACTGGCGAGCGCAATTGGACCCATTCTCGGAGGTACCTTCACAAGCAAAGTCACATGGAGATGGTGTTTCTACATCAATCTGCCCATCTCGGGAGTAGGCATGGCCATTTTGGCGTTTGTCCTCAAGCTGCACAACCCACGGACGCCGATTCGCCAGGGCCTGATGGCGGTAGACTGGCTCGGCTCCGTGACCATTGTCGGAGGCACGCTCATGGTCCTGCTCGGCTTGGAGTTCGGCGGCGTATCGTACCCCTGGAAGTCGGCAACCGTTATCTGCTTGATCGTGTTCGGCATCGTTGTGATCGGCATTTTTGGTCTGATCGAGTGGAAGGTCGCCAAGTACCCCGTCATCCCGATGCGGCTGTTCAAGCGCCGGGCGAGCGTGGCTTCGTTGCTGGTCTGTGCTTGCCAGGGATTTGTCTTTATCTCAGGTAGTTACTACCTCCCGCTTTACTTCCAGGCTGTGCTGGGCGCCACACCGTTGTTGTCGGGAGTGTACGTGTTGGCGTTTGCCATGTCGCTGTCCATTGTATCGGCCGCTACCGGTGTTTATATCAAAAAGACGGGCAAGTACTTGCCTCCGATCATCTTTGGCATGACAGTCATGACGTTGGGCTTTGGGCTTTTCATTGACTTGGAACCGAGGCCCAACTGGGCCAAGATTATCCTCTTCCAGTAAGCCATCTCTTTTTTTCGTCTCTCTTCGCCTTGGACAAAATGACTGACACTTGAAACAGAATCGTTGCTGGTGTCGGAGTTGGTCCCAATTTCCAAGCCCCTCTCATTGCTCTCCAAACCACCGTCCCCGGCCGCGACGTCGCCGCGGCCACAGGCACATTCGGCTTCATCCGCCAGCTCTCGACATCCATCTCGGTCGTCATCGGCGGTGTTGTCTTTCAAAACCGCATGGAGAAACAGCACGAGCGCCTCGTCCAAGAACTGGGGCCCAAAAACGCCAGTCTCCTGACGGGAGGAAGCGCCGCGTCAAACGTGGGTCGACTTGCTTCTTTGCCCCCCGACCAGCGCCAGATTGCCCGTGGGGCCTACTTCAACGCCCTGCGCACCATGTACATTGTGTACGTTGCCTTTGCTGCGCTGGGCTTGTTCGTCTCGCTGTTTGTTGGCTCGAGGACGTTGAGCAAGGAGCATGAGGAGCATAAGACGGGGTTGGATAATATGAAGAAAGCGAAGGAGGATGCGGCGGGTGAGGGGAGGAGACGGGCGCCTGTGGATGAGGAGAAGGCGGGTAGTAGGTAATGTTTTTCTGAACAAGAAGAAGAGGCGGTTGGAGTTGGGATGGGTTTTGGAAAAGATGGCGTTGGGCGTGAGATGGAGGGGGAAAGAGGGAGTAATACGGACTGGACTACATGATTACTCAGTATATCCTTGTATCAACATGCGAAAACCGTCCTGGAAGCTGTTTCTGTAATCAGTTTCTAGGAAACGGAGGACAAACAAACAAACAAAAGATAGAAATATACCCAGCACTCCTAGTACAACACCCGATACAAATACAGAAATGCATACATCCCCACAAGGGTCTTCTCCACCGACTTTGGAAGGCCACCGACCCATACACACACCCACGAAGTACACGTGGTGATACCAAACATGGTTGGGTTCTCTACAGAAATACTGTTTCCTCAAGCTCCAACCCCCAGAGCACAAGCCATCCATGCCTTTTTAGCGATGCATTCGCACAGCGGGTGTAACCCTATAATTTAGGCAAAAATACGCGAAGGATACGGAGAAGGTTCCATTACCGCGCGCTAGAAATATTCCCGCTTTATTTGAAAGGATAGGTACCCTCCCTTAGCTAAACGCCAGGCTTTGTTTTGTTCGCGAAGTTCCCTTTTGATCTTTTGGTTCGTTTGGTGTTTCTCGAGCCTGTAATTCTACATATGTCGGTACCTCTCGGGCGGGTTTGAGGCATCGGCCGCGGCCGCCGGGCGCAAAACACTTTCCTAGAAGAGTAATATCTTGGCTTGGGGAAGGGAGGGGATTGGTTCGTTGTTTTATAGTGAGTGTGTGAGTGTGGGGGGGAGGGTGTGAGGGTGTGAGGTGGATGTTGTTTTGTTTTGTTTTGTGGTCTCTATCGATACTGCACTATGGTGGACGAGAGAGAGGAAGCAGGATTGGTTACTGGCGTGGAGCGACACGGCACAGAGGTACAGAAAAGAAAAAAGAAAGAGGGAAGAAGAAACGGTACAGACGGAAATCGTAACCGGGTACGTGGTAGTGGTGCGCTTACCTATGTACTTGGGTACTTGGGTACTTTGTACACATCACCCCTTGTTTGATTGTTAGCTCGGTACTGTTAACCCCCATAGAAAAGGACGTAGAGCAAGAACCACGCTAACAATTAAACCAGGGTTGATGTATATGTGCAGCGAGGTGCAACTAACCATTCGGTTCTCAAAGCTCAAACGCTTGGCTGTTTTCTTGGCACAGAGAAAAGAGGGAGAGGGTGACGTTTGAAACGAAACGAAACGAACTAGGAGTTGGGTCGCTGACATCATCACCAAATAAATAGGTAAGATGACCTGAGTTGGTTACTTCACTTCCTTCGTTTCGACGGGTCAAATGCCAAAAATTCGCTGCAAGTTGTTGTGTGCACAGAACACGATTAGTGCGCTTGAGCTCGGGAAACAGTGTTTTGCCCTGCAGTTGTGCATCGTTACATAGGTATCTCTGATGTCTGTTTGTGGTCCCTTGGTGTTATGCAACTAGGCTTGCCTCATATACTCATCCTCTTTTGCTATGATTTAGGAAGAACCAAAGGGCTAAACCTACTGAGCTTGGTTCTTTCCTACTAGCAGATATCAAACGTCCATTTGAGGCTCTTGAGGCGTCTTGATACAAGTTGAAATGAAGGAGGGTTGCGTCCGTTCACACTCACTAACAAATGTGGGTCTTTATGTTCCGAGTTGAAAAGATTCCTGATGCGCCACCGAAAGATTTCGACTGTAACTTTCCCCAAATCATCCCCAGATGAGGTCCCCCGAGCAACAACACATGGACCTGATATCGTTCGAATTAGTAGCTCACATCATTAACTCAGCCTCGCAAGATTCGAAGAAGAGACAGGATGGTAGCTGTGATAACCCGCGAATCAGGATGAGGCAACGGGCTGTTTCAAACCCCCCGGCTCATGCAACCTCACCCATCATGGTTCATCCGGAGCCTGTCCGTCCGCGATCGAGTCCACTTCGGTTCATCGCTTGCCTGACCTTGAGATTTGATGGCCAGCCGCCGGCCATGCCGACTATGCCGATTCATTCCAAGCTGGCCAGGGTTGGTGCCCATGGTGCTTGCGAGTAGACGCACAAAGGGGTTTAAGAGGGCACGCATGTCCATGGCCGTCCAAGTTTATGAGATTCTCGACAAGAGGCAGACACTCGTTCCCTCCAGCCGTATCATCCATCGACAAGTTTGTTGTTTGGAAGAACCAATCCATCTTTGACGACAATGAAGTTCTCGTCCTTCGCCTCCGGCCTCTTGGCCCTCGGCGCCTCCCTCGCGAGCGCCGCAGAGGTCGTCAAGCGTGCTTCGCTCCAGCAGGTCGCCAACTTCGGCTCTAACCCCTCTGGCGTCAAGATGTACCTCTATGTCCCCAACAAACTCGCTACCAAGCCCGCCATCATTGTCGCCATTCACTACTGCAGCGGCACCGCTCAGGCCTTCTACCAGGGCACTCAGTATGCCCAGTTGGCTGAGAAATATGGCTACATTGTCAGTGCTGGGCTTCTTGTGTGTTTGACCTTCTTCTCGAGAACATCACTAACAGGGGCTGCTATGGATAGGTTATCTACCCCGAATCTCCCTACAAAGGCACTTGCTGGGATGTCTCATCACCGGCCTCTCTCACCCACAACGGTGGAGGCAACAGCAACTCCATTGCCAACGTAAGTCTCCAGACAGCAATCTGATCATGTCAAAGGTTTTTGATTGCTAACAACACATCGGTTAGATGGTTACTTATACCATCAAGCAGTACGGTGCCGACGCCAGCAAGGTCTTCGTCACCGGTACCAGCTCCGGCGCTATGATGACCAACGTCATGGCCGCTACCTACCCGGAGCTCTTCGCGGCGGCGTCCGTGTACTCTGGCATTAGTGCCGGCTGTTTTGCGACGGGCACCGTCAATGGCTGGAACTCGACCTGCTCGCAGGGCCACTCCATCCACAGCCAGCAGGAATGGGCCAACGTGGTCTTTAACATGTATCCAGGCTACGAGGGCCCTCGCCCGAGGATGATGATCCATCACGGCTCCGCCGACACTACCCTCTACCCGCAAAACTTCAACGAGACACTCAAGCAGTGGGCCGGTGTCTTCGGCTACACGTACGGCCAGCCCCAGCAGACTCTCTCTAACCAGCCTGCTTCGGGTTGGACCAAGTACGTTTACGGCCCCAATCTAGTTGGTGCATACGGAACTGGCATCACACATGCCACTCCCATGTTTCCTCAAGATGATCTCGAGTGGTTCGGTATTACTGGCAACAACAACGCCTCGCCTAGCAAAGCTGCTCCTCCTGCTACCACTCATGCTGCTGCGGTTGCTGCTCCTACTACCACGCTTCTTGCCTGTGTCAGGCCTTCGACTGCTCCGGCGACCCCTAGCTCTGCTGCCCCTGCTGCCCCTGCTGCCCCTGCTAGCAAGGGTGGGTGCACCGTCCAGCGTTGGGGCCAGTGCGGAGGCAATGGATATACTGGCTGCACTGCTTGCGCCAGCTCTACTACTTGCAAGAAGATGAACGATTGGTACTCTCAGTGCGTGTAAAGGAGTGGGAAGCGTGCTCTGAGGGAGAAATGGAGAAAAGAGTCAAGAGATGACCAAGGAGAGGGAACGAGAAATTTGTTGATTAGTCCAACCACGAGTCATGATTACTTGTGAAGATGACGACTATGACTTCGATGTACATACTTAAGCCATATATATATTTACCTCTACAAACCCATACCATAACTGGTCTCTTGCAGCCTTCCAGTGACTTATCCAAACATCCTCACCTCCATATCTCCCCTCTGCTTATTCTTTTCACTCACTCTACCTACAGTACTCACTCCTTGGGTGGCTGCGGGAACTCGTCCAGCACCGCCTCCTCACCCACCAATTCAACCACCACCTCCTTACCCCTCTCTACTCCCTGTGACCCGTCAACATCAACAGCAAACCGATAAGTCCCCGGATACAAAACCGTGTTCCCGTCTCCATCCACCCTACTAATCGCCCCCAAGCTCACCGGCACATCTTTAACCGTAACCGTCTCCCCCGGCTTGATATCTTTCACCCGCTTATAGCTCACCAACGTCTTGAGCGGGTACGGTTTAGGTCCGAATTCTCCAGACAAAAAGAGGAGGGCGACGTAATCGGAGGTGTGGGTGCCGGTGTTGGTTATGGAGATGGAGAGGGCGGAGTTGGCAGAAGGGGAGAAGGGACAGAGGTCGAGGTGGGTGGCGGTGCAGGGGGTGAGGAGGGAGGGGATGGAAAAGGAGGGGGAGGGGGAGGAGGCGTTGGAGGAAAGAGAAAGGGAGACGTTGAAAGTGGTATAATGAAGTCCGTAACCGAAGGGAAGGACGGGGTTGGAGTACCATTTGTAGGTGCGGCCGGGGGAAGAAAGGGTTTTGTTTCCGGGGGTTGAGCGGGGTTGGATTGTTAGGCTGCCGCTTCCTTGAACGGAGACTTCCTCTTCCGGGTTAGAAGAGGAGGAGGTGGAGGAGGAGTGGTTAAAAGGACGCAACGCCATCTCCGTCAACGGTACCTCGTCAACATAGCCTTCCGGGTATTGAGTTACCGGCAACCGTCCCGCCGGCGCTTTCTTGCCTGTCAAAACATCAAATACTGCCGTCCCGCCCGACTGGCCTGGGTAGCCGACCCACAAAATCGAAGACACGTTCCCGTTTTCTAGGAGAAAAGAATCATCCACTTGGTCGCCTAGCTGGATGACCACCAACGGTTTCCCCAGTCCCGCCAGCTCCGAAAGCAACTTCATTTGCGCCTTCGGCCACGCGATGGACTCTCGATCGAGATCCTCCGAAGCAACAGTCGTGTCCGTCCCACCGAAATATAAAACCACATCAGCCCCTTCCGCAGCCGCCAAAGCGGGAGCGGTCCAAGTATCCGGGTCACTGGCGTTCACAACAGGACCGTTGGCGTAGGAAAAGGAGAGGTTCAGCTGCTGCGCGGCGTAGAGCGGGTTATGATAAAAGGGCGGTATACCGGAGTACGGACCGCGCATCGTCCCAGTGGCATTGGCCCAGTGGCCTATCAGCGCTACTTTCTTCCCTGATGAAAAGTCCAAGGGGAGGAGACTACCGGAGTTTTTGAGCAGGACGATACCCTCCGTCGCAGAACGGAGAGCTAGTTCTTGGGTGGATGGGGTGTTGACGTCCTCCCAGTTTAGGGCGTCATAAGCTGGGGAGGAGAACGAGCCACCATCGCCGCCGGCGACAGCAGAAGAACGGCCGTGGTCGAGATAGCCGGCGCGAATAAGACCTTCGTAAAGACGGCGGAGGGCGGTGTCGATGACGGCTTCCGGGAGAAGGGACTGGTTGTAAGCGCCGACGACATCCGTGAGCGGGGAACCCGATACCTCGCAGACCGTGTCAGTACCGGCTTTGTAGGCCGCTGCGGCGGCTTCGGCGGGCGTTTGCGAGAAGTTGTGGTTGTCAGGTAGAAAATCCAGGATGGCATTGCAATCAGATGTGATGTAGTTGTTGTGTTCGGTCCAGTTCCAGTGGTCGCGCAAAATGGTCATTAGGTATGTATTTGCGCAGGCTGGCTGTGCCGTCGTGAGGTTGATTATCTCGTCTGGATTGCCGCCTGCCATGTCACGAATGGTGAGGGCGTTGTAGCTGGATTTGGGACCGACAGGTCAGCATATGCACTTCCCACTTCGAGATCTGGTTGGCCATAAGACGCTTGTAGCAAGGGAAGGACGGACATACCTGCACATGATACTCCCCACCTTAGAATCCCTCGCACACTGCTGAAATGGCGGTAAATAATACTCACTCAGATCCTGCAGAGTCACGATCGCCTCAAACTCATACCTCGTCAGGCCGTGCCACCTCTCCAAATCATATGCAGCATAATGTTTGCAAGTCGCAATCACCTTCCTCACCGTCTCGTTCCCCTCCAAGCCCGCCAACATCGCTTTCACATACCCCTTGATATGAAGGGGGTCTTCCCCGGGAGTCTCGGCCCCTCTCCCCCATCTCGGGTCTTTGTAGGGGTTGACATTTGGCGTCCAGTAATCCAGCCCGCCAAAGCCAAAGTTAGCAAATGCCCTTGCTTCGGTGCTGATGGCTGTGCCGACTTCGTACACTAGGTCGTCGTCAAAGGAGGCGCCGAGGTTGATGGCGTTGGCGAAAGAAGTGGCGTAGGAGAACGGGTAGCCGGTGGTGTTGAAGGTGACGCCGGGGGAACCGGCGACGCCGTGAAGACCTTCTGACCACCACGCATACTTGGGTAAACCAATGCGAGAGGCCCCAAGAGCTCGGCTATTTGGGCAGAGGTTAGTTTCAGTGTTACGATGTGAAGACAAGGATATGGGATGTTCTACTCAACGAGGTTGACGAGCTTCTCGTCAATGGTTAACTGGTCAACCAACGATGCTGCGCGTTCTGGTGCCGTGCCGGTAACATCGCATGCTTTGGATTTGGCTAGAGGGCCGTTGACGCAGTCGGGGAATTGAAAGGCGTTGGCCGTGAGGACAGAGGCAAGCAAAGGGAACAAGGAATGAGTGGGTGGCTTCATGGTTCATAGGTAACAAGCTGGTAGTTGACAGGCTTGTTGGTATGAATGAGTGGGACATCTGAAGATAGATAGGTATGGTGAGACATGATGGCAGTACATATATTAATTGACCATCTTAACCTTTAAACAAGATCCTAAAGTAATCACGTCTTTTCCCACTACCGGCATCCTTCAACGGCACCCTCATCCGTTGTTTCGAGTATATGACGATATGATTCTTCACTTACCCTGTTTCCCTCGTCATTGTCACCGTCTCGTCTTTACCCCAACATTTTGTAATTAAGCGGCTGAAACCCTATTGGGGCGGCTGTCACCCCATCTCCTCTTCTCCTCAGACGCACTCCGGATATTTGACTGCAACTGCGGAGAAGCCCCTTGTAAGCCGCCACTCGGCATGCACGTTCGAAGATCCCGTCCGCAGAGATCGGGACGGCGCGCACGGAGATGTAGATGCGGCCCAATGACGTAGCGCCTTTCACATTTGACAGGCCGGGGCCGTGTAATACCCAGTAGGGCCACGGGGGCCGGTGAACGCTTGCATGCGGTATGTGGAACGCGAATGTAGTTCGTTTGGAGGTCAGAGGATCTTGGCATATTTCGGCTCTTTAGTTGTAACGAGTTGTCGCTGCTGGAAGCCCTGGGTGCCGAAACATTTGCAGTCGAGGAATTTCAGTTTTTCCGGCGTCATTTGTTCTGACTTCAGTAACATTCCTGCGCCGGGGAGGAGATACACGAGCGTTGACCTTGAGTCGCCAGGTAATGACAGCAGATGCAGCCAGCGCCAAAGCAGCGGCTGCAGAGCCGACTGCTATCCCGACTTTCGCGCCGGTGGATAAACCTGGTAAGGTAGTAGCAAATCGGCCATGATGGAATAGGCAGAGACTGCAAAAGCTCTCAGGGAACGCATTATGATCAAACTCACCTGAGCCTTTATTAGACATTCCTGAATCAGACCCTCCACCCGCCGTCGGCTCCCGATCTCCTCCAGACCCAGTCACCACACCCGTCACCTTATCCTCCGTCCTGGTAGGACTAGCCACCACCAAAGGTACCGCCATCCCCGCCTCGGCGCAGTACTCATCATAAAGGTCAAAAGCGCTCGTAACCAGTGAATCGGTTGACGAAGTTCGGCAACTCTTGGCCACGCAGCTCCTGAGAAACGAGCTAGCTGTGCTGGCGTGTGCGTAATCATCGTTGCCGCCGCAATAACATTCGTTAACCCATGGCCCTCTGCACCCGAGGGCGATGATGAGGTCTTCTGCTGTGGGACCCGAATGCCAGATGCAATCTTTGACGCATTCTCGCTGTCGGAGGTAAGGCGTGTAGGAGAAGATGGAGACGGGGATATCGGCCTTGATGTGGGTTGTGAGGCTTAGGGTGATGAGTAAGGTGATGGTGAATTTTGAAGCCATGCTGCGAAGTTGAGCTGGGCCTGGCGGACAGAAGCCTTATAATTAAGTATTTTGCCGAGACTCTGAAAGAAATGGAAAAAATCGACCTCGTAGGGCCTAGATGGTTAGAGGTATGGAAACCGTATCTGGTAGAGAGACTTTCGATCATGAGCTAGGGTGGATTCAGTGGAAGCAGGGGCTTGAGAAATTTAACAGAGGAGGCCTTTTAAGCATCTCCGCGTCACGGAGAAGAAAAAAAAGGACCATTGAAGACAAGATGTGGTTGTACAACCTGAAGGCAATAATTGCTGAATGAATCATACCGTGCTCCCGCTGAGTCCCTCACTCCTCTGTGCTCATGAGACCCCCTTTTTGTAGTTTCCTTTATCCATTCCCTTTTTAGTGCCTTCTCCCTCGCTTGTTCGGCCCTTATTGAGCTCGTTCATCCACAACAAATGACGTACAGCACTGGCTGCTCGGCCATTTGAATGGAACCGCTTGTGCATCCACACTTCAGCCCCTTCTACTGCATCGAATGGCGGGAGTCTGGGCCAGTTCAAGCAACTGCATGGCCATGTATCATCCAGCTCACAATGCCACCGAACGCGAGGCGGCTGTCGACTTCATCGGTTGTCTCCATCACCAGGATGAGACACTCTGAAGGTAGATTTGACGGAGGGGTATAACTAGGACACACCCGTGCCGACTTGGACAGTAGCGCTTGATAAACCGATCATGATGGTGTTCACTCGGCAGCAACGGCGCTGGGGCCGGCCCTCCAGCTCCTGGCACCGAGGATCTCCCTCTGACGCTCAGGGTTGCGATCAGTCCTTGCGGGGCGCTCCGCCCTCTCGGTACGCTCAGTGCGCTCAGTGCGCTCGCCGCGAGGTCTGTAGGAGGAGCCCTCCTCAGCCTCCCGGACAGGAGCCTTGGACTTGGCAGGGTAGACACGAAGGGTGCCGCCCAGGATGGGCCTGCCGTTGGTCGCCGTCATAGCACGCTCAGCCTCGTCCTCGGACGCAAAATCGACGAAGCAGTAGTGGTGGCTACCGCTGCCGTTCTGAGGCCTCGAAAGAGGGTTGGGAGCGATACGCTTGCCGATAGTCACACTATCACAGAGTCAATACACCTGCACACAAATCTGGGCTGGCTTCCAACCACGAGGAGGCTCTCTTGACTTACATCTCGAACCCAAGGAAGATCTCACGGATCTCTGCGTCGTTCTGCTCCTGGTCGATCATCTCGCCAAGACCACCAACATAGAGTCTCTTGTTGTTTTGGACAACGCCCTCCTTCGCATCACTACCAGTGCGCCTCTGAGTACCATACGACCTCTGCTCCTCAGTCGCCGCGGGCTTGCTGCCGCTTCTCCAGTCACCCCACCGATCGAAAGTGGAGCGGGGCGCAGGGGAGGCGGACGCTCCCTCCCGACGCTGAGAAGAAGTCTTGGGGTGGCAAGGGCCGAGCTTCACGGAACGTCCGCAAAGGTCAACGCCAGCCAAGCTCTCAAGAGCGCGCTCAGCCTCCTCACGAGTGGTGAACTCGATGAAGCAGTAGCCAGGGTTCCTTCCGCTAAGGGGATCAACCGAAATGTGAATCTTCTCGTACTGGGTGAAGCCGGCATCCTGAAGGAGTCCCTCGACATCAGCGGGCTTGACGGAGTACAGAAGGTTGCCCATGTAGATGCGACGACCCTCGGTAAGGGCGTCAGAGTTCTGCATGGTGGTGGCGTTGCCGATTCTGTCCATAGTTGCTGTTGTGTTTTATAATGGTTGAAAGAGCTGATGAGTCGTAGATGGAGGTACGCAAAAGCGAGTAAGAAGAGTCAAAGACAATAGATTGTTTGTGGTGGTAAGGGTAACACTGAGGGCCTGAATATGAAGAAGTGAATATGACTGAGAGACCAACGCCGGGGAAAAAAATCCTATAAGGCAAAGGCGAAGTACAAACGGCCCACAAAAGAAATTTTGGAGTGTTCCACTTGCATGGCTACTCCGTTCTTTTTTGGTCCAGCCTTCCCAGCTCTTGGGTCCAACCTCGGCGTGCTTGGGCAGGCATTATACAGCCGGGGTTAGGGTTAGCCGCCGCCTTCCAACCATTTTTGGGTCTTCAAGAACCGTCCAGGGTTTTTGTCTTGACAATTCTCTGCTTATTGAAGGCAAGGGATATGGTGACCAGGTGATTATCTTCTGTTGTAAAAAGTATTACAGCAGAAAAGGGGGTTGTGCGTGACATATGTCCCGCCGCAACACGTTCGGTATGTGCATACCCTTTATGATGGGCCATACATCATAATCTGGGCTTTGGGTGGTCTCAAAGTGCCCACAACACCATGCCCTGAACCTCTGAATCAACACTTGAGGAGCGGGAGGAAGCCTGAAAATCTTGAAAATGTGCAATATAGGGCAATGTATTCTTCACTACGCGAGTCTCTCGACGACAGTGGTACTGACGATGCAAAGTGAACAGACACCAGGGTGAGACAACATGCCGCCGCCTGTAGTTCCATCTTGAAGGCCCATGAAGTTGTGGCCGACTGATTATGGACATCCTGAGTTTTCGTGTGTGTCTTGATCCCTGATTCGGTCCCTCAGCAGCGCCATTTGCTTTTCGCTGAAGGGACAGGCATACCACTTGGTGTGCGCAGTATTCTTGCGTCTAACTCTCGAAAGCATAGTACTATCATCAGAGAATCTTGGACCTACATAGAGTAAAGAGTGAGAGAGAGGACGCGCACCAATGGCTGTAAACGATAATGGAATTTGATGCCAAGCTTGGCAAGAATATTTGGATTGAATGTCCTGCGTGAGTACCTGTTGAAGGTAGTTACGGCCTTGCTGAGACGGTATTTTACACGCTAATCACTATACCTTCGAGGGAAAGGTAGGTATTGCGCAACCCATGGGACTGAAAGGCATTCGTGGCCCTCGGCTGGGTCGAATGGGACGAAGGCTGTATGTTACCTTAGGCGTGGAAGATCGCCAACTGAAGTGCAAATGCCGGAGACGCGACATCAGGTCGGCAGGTAAGAAGAGCGTTTGCTGCTGGCAATCGAGCCGTCCCTGATGGCGATAGAACGTGGGCGCGCCAACGCCAACAACATGGAACTTTCCCGTACGCGCTCACGACGGCTCGAAAGAATACCGACGAACGGATCGATGGGCTGCCATGTACTCTTCTACCCGTCCCTGGCAGATCATGAATGCGCGATTGCATCTTGAACTGGCATATGAGATGGTGCAAGTAGGCAGAACTTGGATAAGAAGTCAGAGTTGTGGTGGTGAACCAACAGGTTGGCGGGCTGAAATGAAGCGACGGAACGGTTTTGAATCTGACGGGAGAAGCAAACAAGTTCAGTGTTGGGGAAGAAGAGAACTGTAAGCGGAAAACAATTCACACGGAAAGAAAGAAAGAATGGGAACCAAAATTCACGATCTGCAGTCACGCTCCACCAGCCCCACAACTACGTGGGGCGTTGCCGCTTTTAAGGTTATCGTTATCAGTGCACTCTGGGGTGGGGATGGCGTTCGTCCCGTCTGGAGGGAAGACATCATGATTCAGGTGAATAGAGTGAGGTCAGTTTGACTGGTCTCGCCGTCCCAGCTCACAGCTTGCGACTTGTCTACTTTCCACTGCGTGTCTAGCAGTTTGCCGGGACAAAATCCATGGCGCGCGTGCTTCGAAGGACGCCTCCGTCATAAGCAGGATCTCAGGTGTTAATGAAGCGTCTGGATTGCTCACACAGGCCCTATTCAAACAAGTAGTATTGGTCCAGTGCAGTTGGAAATGGAACGCCGAAGGACTGTCAAACAAGAGAACACGGGCTGCCACTGCTAGGCAGCATAGGGGGCAGCTATGGAACTCGGGGTGTTGGTGGCTTGCTGATATTATTATTTGACTGTTGGTGGACTCCAGTTGCGAGACTAGAGTATTCGTCCGCACGGTTTGCTTCCTGGCTGAATAATGACCATGAGCTTCTTGGCCATCAGCACGTCTCGAGACTCCGTCTTCCAGCACACAGGTCAAGAATGATGTGACTTCGGGACACATCTCACATCATCCCTTGACCAAAAAAAAGTCCTGGGCGGAGAAACTGTGTAGAGAAAAGTTGCGAGGAAAACGGTGGCAGCATTGGTAGATAGAAACCGCAGACGAAACGCCCCAAAGATGGTATTGTGTTCGTTTCCCGCACCCGACCATCCGTGTCCATTGTACATGTACCTCAAAGACCAACTTTCCCGTGCCAACATCGAAGCCAGTCCGTTGACTTCGACGCTACGACACGGCAAACCCATGCAAGACCAGTCAAGAAAACCAGTGCCGGCTTCGCAACCTCGCTACCACCGCATTCTTCCCATGGAAGGCGTTTAGAAGACGAGAGCAGCGCCCTTGGTCTTCTTGTCACCACTGTTGTTACAAACAAGTCAGAACCAGTTCATCAGAGTACATTTCATAGGCCAAGAAGACACCGCATCATCGGCGATCGATCGTGGGATATCGTAAGATGATGTCGCAGTGGCGCAGCTTGACGATGGATCTGAGCAGAGCGGTATTTCGACTGGGTGATGCCAGGCTGGAAGCTGTATCGCGACATGTTTCTTTTGTTGCTTCTGTCGATGCTTCCTCCACAGTACCCAATTTGCTGCTAGGCACGAAACCCAATTTTGGCGATACTCCTGATAGTCGTTGATGAATATCGAACAAACAGCAGCTGTCTGGCACACCGGTCGTTCACACTTTTCCCAAACAAAACATGGCTTCGAATGCAATGCGGAGCCGTTTATGTCGCGTCGAGCTCTGTCGATAATCGCCATCGTGTGGTTCGGGTCTCGCGGCCGGCAGGGCAGTGATTGCAGTCTATCGTCTCGCAGTTTGGCGGCGGGTATAGTCGCTCTTGTCGCGCAATGTCGCATATCCCAGATTCCGATGATGATGATGCCGTGTCTTCTGGATCCCAGCCATTTCAATCATTAAATAGGAAAAACTTACCCGAGCTCGAAGTGCTTGCAGCGCTTGAGGGGAAGCTGCTTCTTCTGCTTGCAGACGGAGCACTCCTGTAAATTCACCATTTTTAGCCCCAATCCCTCAAAGTCTTGAGATTATCGATTCCTATTCGGGCTCCCGTACCAGTCTGAGGACGACCTTCTTGGTGGTCTTCGCCTTCTTGTGGAAGACGGGCTTGGTCTGACCACCGTAACCGGACTGCTTGCGGTCGTAACGGCGCTTTCCCTGAGCGAAAGCCGAAGCCTTGCCGGCCTTGTACTGGGTGACTTTGTGAAGGGTGTGCTTGCCGCAAGAGCGGCCAGCGCAGTAGGTCTTGCGGGTCTTGGGTACGTTGACCATTTTTGCGATTCGGACGTCGGTCGTTGATGTGTGAGGTCGAAGATCGTACGCTGACCAGCTTCGGCTTGGATTTTTTGCCCACCTTGACAAATTTGGGTGGTGCTGCGTGTGCCCTGTGTGCCTGGTCTGTGCGTAATGCGGAAGAATTGCTCTCCGTGGCTCCGCGCCGTCGTTTTGCGAACCCGCTTATCTTATCCACTCTCGCCCACTTGTAGAGGTACATTTCAGCCAATGGTGTGCAATTGCAGTGCTGCTACAACTGCCTGCCGCCTCCTGTGTTGAACTTCCCGTCTAGTTCAACGACGAGCGAAAGGCAACTCGATTCCGCTTCCCTCCCCAACGGGTACATTTCTTCATTCCTCGTTACCACGGGCGGGATATTACAAATTGACCCAAACACCTCGCGCGATCGTCTTGATCCTTGCACAGTTTGCACAGTTTTCCCTGTTTTTCTCTTTGTTGCCGGAATTCGACCCGGTTCTTCCAGCAAAGAGCGACACTTTGCGACTCCGTTCAAGATCGGAGAGGGAATCTCTGGTTTACATGTCCTTCTTACAGTAGCTCACTACAACATGGATGTTAAGATCGAACTCATCATACCGCACCGTTTCTCCATCGCTAGTTTCGGCATTCTGAGGGAAAATCCAAGTTCATTAACACTAACTGCAGCGAAGCTGAAGCTGTGCTTGTCCCTCGATCATGTTCTCCTACCTCGCTCGCACTTCGTACAGGGCTGTTTCCATCGTTGAATGGCTGAAAAGTCCATACCTACAGCACCAACCTAGTCTACCTCTTTTGATTTGACGTCTCCGGCCACGATGCCTCACGTCCCTTGCTTTACAGCCATATCGATCAAAGAATATGCTTCAACGTGACGGGGCAGTACCCTTTGTGAGATCCCGTTCCAACAATCGACCAGGGGGGATACCGTCTCGTGCGACATCCGGATGGAGAAGATCACCATCAGAAGTGTTTTGGGGTCTGTTGCGTACCTCAAGGAGAAACATATGTAAGTTGCAAGCATCCTCGAGCCCACAAATCCATGCTATCATCGTACCTCTTCGAAGCTTCTTGTGTGTCCATCCAAGGTTGAGGCTCTTTCCACGCCAAGCATCCAGTCATCTCGGAACCCCCCAACACAACAAGAGCATCTTGACGAGTCGATCAAGATCGAGACGCACACAGCCATGCCTCCTCAAATATTAGTGCCAACAACGGTGCCAACGGCAGTTACTCCTCTCGCCAAGTTGGTGGTCACCTCTTTCCCTCGCGTCCCGCTGACGACTCAGTTCGACCTGCCGGATGACTGCTACGGCGTCCAGTCGGACGATGTCTATCTCATCGATCAACATACGAGCTGCCTTCCGAGTGGTTGGTCTCCCGCCGAAACCGCTTTTTTTTCGCCCGGTCTGATATGCCCGAAGGGCTACACCAGCGCATGCCATGACAACGGCGGAGTTGCTACGATCACGACGGTAACCTGCTGCCCACAGCGCGGAGATGTCGCGCTTACATGCGTCGTTGAACCCACGGAGCTCGCCTCATCATTGAGCAACTATAATTGCAGATGGGAGGCACCGGCGGCAGGTTTCACTACCGATGTTACGAAATCGCCAAACGGCAAGACAATTACAGAACACGTGACGCTTAAAAGCCCCGATGCTTTAAACGGCTACGGTGTTCGCATGGTTTACCAGTCAACCGACAAGTTGACGACCGGCATGACCGGCACCCCAACGGCTAACGAGACATCGGGAGCGACCTTTGCAAAGACCACTGCTTCTTCTTCTACTTCTTCTTCTGCTTCTTCGTCTGCTACTTCAGTGTCTGGTTCCTCAAACACGACCATTTCAACGACGGCCGTTGTGGTGATCGCCGTCTGTATCACAGTGGTCATATGTGCGTTCCTAGCATCTTTGTTTCTCTGGTGGCAAAGACGTTCGCAACCTCAACATACGAGCGGTCCAGGCCCAGATGCTCCAAGCTCTACCGCTCCGGCCCCGAAATCACCATTACCGAATGTCCCGCATTCGCATCCTTTACACTCGAATGCTCCAGCCCAAGTCATCCCACAGTCATCCGTATCGACTTCTGACCGTATTCCACATGTGAGCATGCAAAGTTCAACGTGGCATCCGATGCCGCCTTCACCGCTATCACAGAGTCCCTTTCCTTATCCTGTTAGCAAGTCGATACTGGATCATCAAGATGATGTCGAGAGAAGAAACAAACATACGGAAATAAGCAACTTCAGGGCCAGCGATACTACTGCGGCCTTTGATATCAACAACGCCGTTGAGTTACCCGTCCGGTCATCGGCCAATGAACTTCCAACACCTCGTTGAGCAAGGAGTTATACTATAGCCACGTCTGCGTTGTGAAATCACGGACGCTGTTTAGTCAGATGTGCAGAGACGGGTTGTATTAGCTTTGCATGAACATATTCGGGTCCGGCGCGTTATCAAGCTGTTTGGAGTTGGTGTTAGTTCCTACCCTTACCTTTGTCGGACCTCAAATAATAAACTTTTTATCCATCCTTGTTGCGATACCCATAGTTCTCGTTACCGGCGGAAATCCATCAGAAGTATCCGCTTGTTTTCCTACGATATTCGCTTTCACTGATCAAGGTCCGCCTCGGCAAGGCAAAATCCGGGACTGCGATCTCGAAGACGCTGTTTAATGATATCACGGATCCTTGCCTTCTTTCTATCGTGCATGTCAATTATGCGTTCCATCTCTACCTCAGTATCCAACCGACCCGTTGAGTGTGCTGCGGTGCTGCAGGATGAAGTTCTGGCTTGGCGCTGCCGGACTGACAACTTATCCAGATCACTCGGGAAAATGTCCGAACTATCACCGTACCCTCATGCTGGTTCTCTGGACGTCCGATCGCAAATCCGTGTCGGACCCCCAAATTCAGATTGCATCAAGACGCATCTTCCTATGTCGGTTCCCTGAAAATGTTCCCACCACCGGACATCAGCTCGGTGCATATATGAGAAATTCTATAAAGCTCTGGTTTCTCGCACCTCTCGAAGACCTTAACTGTATACCTAGATATCACCGACAGTGAACTCCAACACACCTGAACCATGCACCTCCCTTCCGTCTTCCGCCTCATGGCCACTGCCACTCTTGCAGTCTGCCAGTCCAGCAACAACACAACAGGCAAGCTAGGAGATGCTCGTCCAGTCCATAACAATCCCGTCATCGGCGAAGTCTGGATGGCAAAGTTCGATTCTCCTACAGTCAAGGGTTCCGTGACCGCCGTCTCAAATACCGTTGGTGTCAACTACACCATTGACGTGACGGGGCTTCCGGTAGAGCAGGGGCCGTTTAGTACGTACATATCCAGTCTTTCACCCCTCCTCAAAAGGAACAAAACACATCATCCACACCCACGAGCGATACGCTTCATCCGGTCAAGTCACTGACCCCTAGCGTCATCACCCATGTGTAGAATACCACGTCCACCTCCGCCCCGTTCCCTCTGACGGTAACTGCACCGACACAGCTGGCCATCTTGATTCGTATCTGCGCGGCGACAGTCCGCCATGCAACAGCGCGGCGCCTCAGGCTTGCGAGGTTGGCGATCTTTCGGGGAAGTATGGGATTGTGACCGGACCTAGCGTGTTGAAGAGGTGAGATATTTTACCTTTCTTCCATTGATTTTCAGGCAAATAGCTATTGATGAGGTTTTGGTGTTCTGGTGTTTGGTTGCTGATCAGTTGATAAAAATAAATCTTTACAGCTTCAACGACCCTTATTCAGCGCTTAATGTCATTAACTTCGGGTATATCGGAAATAGAGGGATTGTCTTTCATGATGCTAGTTCGGCGCGGATTGCTTGTGCTACGTTGCACAAGGTTGAGTGAGGAGGTGGTTTGTTAGTGGTTATCGGTGTGGTTTATGGCTTGACTCACCTTAGAATTGATTCATGAGGGAAGGATCGATGTGATGCTGGCTTGAAATGACTGGAGCATGGTGTTAACTATTGGAGAAGGTTGTAGAAAAGGTCAAGAAAATGGATCATCTTGCTCGGTCACTCAGTTCCTGTTCTTTGATCGTGAGTCGTCGATACGAGATGGTTGCTAGATCTTCGTTTCAAGTGACATTAGTGGTCACCGAAATATTTCGGTGATCTCTTCCATTGTAAAAGATCGCACCGGGTACGGGTCACCATCGCGAACATGAAATTCGTATTGATAGATTGCAGTAGAAAAATCACAAACGAAATGAAAAGCGAAAAAACAAAAAGCTCGGCCGCCCAAGCCCCGGATTGAACACAGGACCAGCTGCAAGACCTACGAGAACACCACGTATTTTCTGCCCCAGGACGGGCACTGCCGCGTCTGCTACTGGAGGTGTTGGAAGGTCCTGAAGTGCGGGCTTATATAGTCCCAGGGAAGGTTCGGCCGCTGGCAAGCTACACTGCGGCCAGTGCTCGTTTTTCTGTAGGGGCAGCTTCGTATGCAACCAATGACTTGAGCTGAGTTGAAAGACAAAAGTGAATCACGAACTTATGGAATTCCCACAGCAGTAACAACATCATACCTATTCAATGTCGAGCTGGTCGTGCCTTCCGGAACGTTAGAGGTTACCTATGTACCCAGAGGTAGTTGGATGTCCTTATCGATAAGACGTAGCCATCAGGGTCCCCGACCATTCAACCCATGACGTCATGGCTTGCACTTCCAGAAGGCTTCCACTGCAGTGGATGATGCAGATAATCCCCTAACATTAACATATCCATGGCTGTCTCATCATTGGCCTCAGTCAGTTAGGGCTACTATGTATATCTCACTTCTAATAATGCCAGAAATACTTTTTACGAAGGGAACAACATCCGACGAAGGGATTCTGTTACCTCTATAACACTCAAACCTCAACATGGCCACATCGCAGCACCGCTCTCTGCCGCCCTTTCCACTCCGCCTGGATTAAGTCATTCGCTGTGCTCTTAGGATTATGGTACTCAAACGAGAAGTTCTCAGTCCGCACAATCTACGCAGTCGTCCGCGGCCCTCTCCAATTGTCTTCGAAGCTCTGCTCCTCCAGGACCGGAGCGCGCCCGTCTGACAAGGGCCAGGGTAATATCCATCAACACCGAACAGGAGTCCGGAGATATGTTGTAGTGTACCGTTACGTGAGGCTCTCAGCACTTTCCGGACTTCAATGACTCCCATGACTTATTGATAGGTGTGCATGCGATTCAGGGAAACAGCGCTGTCAGCCCCATGGATATGTTTATGGTACCTCTAGTTATGATGAACCGCAAGCACCACTTCATCTACCCATGAGTGAGCTGGAGCAGTGTGATGGCGAAGCTTCCCTTGGACCAAAATGGTTCAAATGGCGGAGAATGAGTCGGCCATATTGACAAGTAGCAGCAGGGGAGCCATGTTGACATCGTGGGATCTACGGAAGTTCTCTTAGACCATGATATAATGGTGAAGCCTCCCTCAAAAGTCTCACAAGCCTCGGATTATTTGAAGTTCATCCCCCTCACCTATGTCATATATCGGCTTGGCGGTCGTACAAACATGTTGGAGACTCAATAGGTCTGAGGATCTATTGCCTTCGATATAAGTCCTTACATGACCGATATCTGTGAGATTAACTCACTGTTAACCGAGGAGATGCTGGAAATCGCTTATCCGCGCGGACTTACGGCACAAACGAGAGGCCAGCTGCGCAAAGGTTGGTAAGAGATTTGTGCAAGAATTCGTGAGGATAAGGACGATTGATGAAGAGTGTGCCAAACTCTTGGATTTGTATCCAGACTCGTGTTATACTGGTTACCTCCGTTACAGTAGGGCCAGACAAGGTACGCAGGACGGAAGTTGGAGCTCTTGTTACCGGTACCTAGCATTGCAATCTCGTAGGGAGTGTAACTAGGTAGGTACCACAACCATTTTCCTCAAAGTTTTGACATTTGCCCTTGCATAAGACGGGTTATTGAAGCGCAGCTGTTATTCCGAGCTCCGATGGCTGACAAGAAATTGATGTTTTGTCCCCCTCTCAAGACTCAGCGCATTCCTAATCCTTCGCAGACGGGTGGCGCCTGAAACTTGGCACCGGCAACGATTCGGAAGGAATTATCATGAGCTGAATGAACGCAGCCAAGACGCATCTCAAGACGCCAAACCTCCGACATCAATAGACAAGCTTTCCCTATGATCTGTTACTCGGAGTATCGATGTTATTGGTTATTTATTAACCGTTTATATAGTTTATAGAAATGTTCTTTCTTTTACACCACCAGGGAGGAAAATGAAGCTATTACCATCATTCTCATATGAATGGCGAAATTTCTGCTAGTCAACAGCACAAAGCACCTATCTAGCAACGGCAGACCAGTCCCCGAATAGGCAGCTGGGCCTCTTCTGTTTCAACCCGCAGCGCCCATTTTCCAGCACATCGATACAGAGCCAAATGTGGATATAGATGTGAGAATCTGTTGCTTTTGCGGCCGTTAAAATGGTGATCAAGACAATTCTCCCCACAAACATGCGGTCCAACGATGCACCGCTGACCGCTGACCTGCAGGCGACTTCTGAACAACACGTGGGATGACAAGGGGGGGAAAAACACTGCCAATACCACTTATACTCACTCATACCAAAGCCGCTAGCTAGTAGTGTAAGAAGATGAGAGAATCCCATTGGGCTGTTTCATCACATGCAGCTAGTCCCGCCGTGCATATGCTAACTTTCTCACCAAAACTGCCGGGTTTAGTAAATGTTTTACGAATGAATACTCGTATAAGTGCGGTATCCACAATCTTCATGATCTCTTCACAGCAAAACAAAATGGAGATCTTGTGCGATTATCCGTGTCTCGCAAACACAGCCAGGGCAGAGTTACACAACATACATCATCCAGGTCTTTTTAAACGCCCGATGATGCAACGCGTTCCACCTGCGGCAACTGAAGGCACCCAAAGAGATCGCCGGCTGACTCAAGAACGAAATGCCTCTTTTTTCCCATTCTCGAGATATTTACTGAATGTAGCACTTTTGATGATGAGGATAGCGCATATGCACGACGGCTTTAGTTGCAGACGAGGAATTAATCCAATGGGATCCTCAGATCTTCCTGGCTAGCGCCTTTGGTAAGTAGAGGTATCTTACGACTGCATTCTAGCGGTACACACCACGATGCTAAAATCTACTCCTTTCCGCTTCTGGAAAGGAAACAACTTTTGTTTCCTGCAACTTTTGTTCGTATGTAACCATACGAACTAAACCCTGAAGATCGCCATCTTTGCGGCTTGGCCTCTACCCACTCTCTGCCGAACGTGGAGAAGACATGGTGAGATTTCGATGGAGATGAACTACCGGCACCGGCCGTTTAGATCAGTTCCACGCTGAGACAGAGAGACCGTCGGACAGGAAATCCAGATATAAAAAGGTCTCTGCTTCTAGAGATGCCGTTTTCTCGATTGTCTGCCTACCTCGACTCCAGTCTCCTACTCAGTAACTTCAAGACAGCAAGCAAAACCGGCATCATCATGAAGTCCTTCGTCCTCACGGCCCTCGCCGGCCTCATCGGCGCTGTCCAGGCTACCGTCCAGGGCTTTGACATCTCCCACTACCAGGGCAGCGTTAACTTTGCCCGCGCTTACTCTTCCGGTGCCCGCTTCGTCATCATCAAGGTGAGTTGTTTCCTAGGTATCTTGGTCTCACACCAAGACTCATCTCTTCACAGCACAGGACATCCATCCGTCCATAGATACTAACCCACCATTGCTACCCCTCAACAGGCCACCGAAGGAACCAACTACATCGACCCCAAGTTTTCCTCTCACTACACCGGCGCCACCTCTGCCGGCCTGATCCGCGGCGGCTACCACTTTGCGCACCCAGACTCCTCCTCCGGCGCTGCTCAAGCAGACTACTTCCTCGCGCACGGCGGCGGCTGGTCCAAGGACGGCATCACCCTGCCCGGCATGATCGACCTCGAGTCCTCCTCCGGCAAGGCGACCTGCTACGGCTTGTCGACCTCGGCCATGGTGTCGTGGATCAAGGCCTTCTCCGACCGCTACCACAGCAAGACGGGTCGCTACCCCATGATTTACACCAACTACTCGTGGTGGAGCAAGTGCACTGGCAACTCCAAGAGCTTTGCCACGACCAACCCGCTGGTGCTGGCGAGGTGGTCGAGCTCGGTCGGTACGATTCCTGGCGGGTGGAGTTATCAGACTATTTGGCAGAATGCGGACACGTATACTTATGGTGGTGATTCGGATATCTTCAACGGCTCTCTTGATCGTCTCCTGGCTTTGGCTAAGGGCTCTTGAGCGGGGAGTTGAAAGCGGGTTCCTAGGTTGCTTGGATTGATGAGAGTGTTGGCTCAAGACTTCAACGAGGGCCGGGGCTGGACCGTTTGAACGGCGGGAAGGTTTAGGCATTTCTTCAAGAAAGGGGATAGATTCCAACATACCTAGGTATTTCGTGGTAATCGTCTAGAACGTTAGCTACATCAAATTCAAAGCTGTTCCCGGTACATACCTGTGCTTTTACTATTGCCAATATCTGTTTCACTGTTGCGCACATAAATTGCTGACTGGTGAAGTGATCGAAAAGTAGGACACAAACCCAGCAGTCATGAATCCGATCGATAGAGCTAACACTTAGTATAGGTATCTGGGCAATCCGAGCGGCCGATACCATGACGTCGACCGGTAACTGTTTGGTAACCAGTGATGGTCACCAAAACCAGTCAGATTCACCCTTGCTATGTTTTAGCCTGTTTCGACTTTGAAAAGTTAAAAGTTTCTCTTCCAGTTGCAGTTGCCCCCGTGCGGGACGAAAAGTTATAGCTTCAGTGGACGTCAGCACGAAAGTAGGTAACTTCCCAATCACGGCAGACGGCAAATGGTGGGTGGCCCCGTCCGGCCCAGTTGCTAGCTTGCCTGTCTTTTCGGCTTGTCAGCGAATTTGATGGAACGAACCCTCCTGCAGATGGACATCTACTTCCTGCCCGTTTGTGGCGCAAGCAATTTGGGTTGAGGCTCTCGACAGCCGCATACCAACCTTTTCTTTTTCTTTTTCTTTTGATTATGGATCGTACACTGTTCACTCCGTCATTCTCATGTATACCATATATCCATCCATCCATCTCCATTCATACCTGTGCATATATACCGACACCGAACCGCAGAACTCAAAGTAGTGTAAGTAACTTGAAAAATAATAACAAAGAATAGAAAAAAAGGAAACAAAAAAAAAAAAAAAGGAAAAAGGTATCGTCGCAAGTTTAGGAAAACAGGCTCACTTGGTATGAGCGCTCGCTGTCAAGGAAAAAATTACGCAGAATTATTTGAGGACAAAGGAAAATTACATTATTCGAGCACAGGAGAATGAACACTTGGTTAGTTATAATCCTGGGTAACCACCAAATCATGCTTCACAGCAATTGTCCCTTCCATCGGTCCCGTCCACCTCGATTGCTGCTGCTGCGACCCAACCCTGATTTCTGTCCGCACCGTCGGCTGCAGACCAAGCTGGTTAGGTGACACGTAACCGCCTTCCTCTGCACGTGTTCCCCCTCGGCCGCGGTTTTGCGACGGCGAACGGTCAAATAGATCTTTGCTTGCCGTCCTTGAGTGGTGTCCTTCGTGTTGTACAGGAACTGCTGTGTGGGCGATCACGGCCGCGTGCTTCTCCAGTTGGTCCTGGCTGCCAGATTTGGTTTGGAGCTCGACGTCCTCCGGGTATATGACGCTACGGCTACCGAACTTGCCGGATTTGGGCTTGCTACCAAGACCGCTGGTGCTGCCCTCGGTGACGTCGCGGCCGGATGAGTGATGGACGTACTTGGCGTGGCTAGGGGCGCTGTGAGAGCCCATGCCAGGTATGACGTGCGACAGCAGAGGACGAAGCGTAGGCAGACAGGAGCAGACAATGCCGGAACCGAGTTCTGAGACGGACCAGCAGGAGGAGTCGACGTTGTCCCAAGTGGTGTCATCGCTGAGCTTGAGATATTGGATGCGGATGATGGAGATGGCGCAAGTCTGAGAAGGAGGGGCAATGTGTTAATAACCAACTGTCGGGTTCAGATTACAGACTGCCATGGGAGGAATGCTTACAAAGAAACCAAGACAGAAGACGCCAATAAGCGCTATTTTCTGTTGCTTCCGAAGATTGAGACTTCCCAGCGCCGGTAGGGGGATAATGAAGATCAGGACGTCGGTAACAATGTTGCCAGCCGCATTTATGTACCAGAAGGGCAAGTTGGGCATGCAGTGCCCGTTCGGGATCGAGTCTCCGAGCCAAAACTTCTCGATCGGGGTGCAGGAGAAGATGACGATAAGCAGCTGCGAGATGGACCACATAGCAACGAATATCAGTGCATAGACGACAACCTTGCGCATCTGTCGTGTTCCCAAAACTCGGTAGTACTGGAGTAGGAAAGTGAGCTTGATTGCCGTCAAGGACGCGTTGTAAAGGACGATGGAGATGTAGAATGTCTGGAATTGGAGTTAGCACACACCAGCCAAGTGCAATAGCTGACTGTCTGAAGGCTTACCCTGAAATACTTTGGTAACTCGGTCCAATCGATCTTAGGATCGCCCATGTGGTGGCCAGCACCATAGATGGTGTCTAGTAGCATGTTAGTACGATGTGAAACTTGTGAGTCTGTCACAGAACATACTTGAAGCCACCATGATACCACTGCCCATGGCAAAAACAAGAGCAATGACGGCGGCATAGTCGTCCATGCCAAATTGGCGGATCAGCACGGCACGAGCATATGTTCGGAGGCCAACGGCCAACGTAGCGAAGCCCAAAACCACCGTCACGACCGTAATGGGCACATGGGCGCGCGACTCCCACACTTTGTCTTCTCTTGCTGCGATCGAGGTCGACATTGTCGTGGTTTACCTGCAGAAGAGTGTATGCCCGAGAGAACGGGCTGAAACCCCCGAAAAGGGCTGCTGTTGAGACTCGGATTCGAGCCACGAGGACCGTGTCGGTGATGTTGAATAGGCACTCAAGGAACGGAACAATACACTCCATAGCGAAAGTTAAGAGCGGGTCAAGCGTCTGTTATATGAAACACCGGGGCCGCTGTAGTCAAGATCGGCGCTGCAACATGGACGCTTTGCGGCTTGTCTATCCAAACTGCTAGACTCTGGGAGGGGAAGTAGTCCCGGATGGAACAAGATGTAACGCTGAACTGTATAGCCGATGCAGTATCTCTTTCAATCTCAGTCGCAGTTCCTGGCCCCTGGGTATAGTACCAGTGCTGAGTTACCTTGTTAAACCTGGTTTGGTCTGAGAAGGGTAGCTTAGCATCTTCCCCGGATTTCCTTTCACACACTCTCTCCCCGAAGGTCCTTATCGCTTCGCATGTGTGAATGCGCGCAGATCTTGAAGGTTTTTCTGCTGTCCAGGAGTATATCCATGACGACAAGAAGGGGGCCGGTGGATGTGAGATCACCTGTATCTCACAGTGATGGTGGTTCTAGCTATAGTCGCCACCGCATCTCGACCAGAATGGGTTGCATTGCTCGCAATTTTCCATGTGCTGGTCTGGAGGGTCTGAAGTCTGAACCAGGAGAAGGTTGGTGGTCTTCACCCTATTCGGGAAGGCCATCGTCGCCTGGCCTTTATGCAGACAGGGAGCGGTAGAAATTTATCCGAGCGCTCTTGTTGGCCAATGCCTGGTCACTGAGACGCCGAGAAAACGACATGAGATGTCTCAGTGTGTGACCATGGTACCGATATGGGAATGTGTGCACAAGGAGCTCTAATCTTCTCAACATGCGGGTCGGAAGCGATGGATGGGTCGTGTTGGAGAAAAATATGAACCTTGGACATGGAAACCGAGGCGATGACTGACGAGCTCGGAGATGGAACCTTCTCTACAAGTTCTAAGTGTGAGGAAGTCGAAGGATTGATGAGTTCCGTGATCAAGATGGAAATGATAGGCCCGCTTGCTGGATAGGAACCGTCAATGCCAATGCCAGAGAGGGCAAAGACAGCCCTTGGAAGGAAACATGATGATCGGCGTAAGCTTCTCGACGAACGAATGATAAAAAGTGAAGAGTGTGCCAAAGGAAAGGAGACGGAAGAAAGGAAAGGTCGTGTGAGTGTGTTGCTCAGGAACAAGAGATGCCAAGAGACGTCAGAATAGGCGTTAGGATGAGTGTACATAGGCGAGTCCGTGCACACGGTTAAAAGAGGAGGCACGGACGGGAGCTAGGGACAAGTGGGTTTAGTGCAGAGAGGCCCCACAGTCAACGGGAACTGCGCTGGGCACCGTTGCCTAACCCGGATTTGCTCAGCATGGTCAGTGCGCCGGCAACTGCTGCTGTGAATCCTCCAACATCTTCACTGTACCTAAGTTCAATGGTATGACTCTCTCGGTCGCAGCGTACAGAATGACCGCGTGATTTGTTGCGCAACTCTTTTTCCCGCTTCACTTTTTCTTTTGTCCCTGATCAGTCGACCTACAGACGAGAGCCATTCCCGCAAGGAACCTTCCCTGCCGGGTATTTGCCCTTTTTACCTCTTGATATACTAACAATCGTCGCTTTTGCATATCACGGCTTGCATCTGACGGCGGAAAAGGCTACAAAAGACGGGTTCAAGGCCCTAAAGGACTCCAGGAAGAAAATACAAGGGCGTTGCAACTCTGTACAACCACTTTCACTTCCAAGTTTACATGGAAACCCGACGCGGATGAACGTCGTAACCTTCTAGCGCTTGCCATTTGGGACCATAAGTCAGCTCATGTCAGGGGTACCATGGGCGGGAAGGGTGTCCTGAGGGGGAACCTCTCGTACCTCTCCACGCCAAAACACCAAAATGTCCCCCTGCATCGCAGACGAGAAATCTCCACCGCGGGAGATCAGCTCTTCCATCTTTCGTCGCGTCCTCCACAGACAAACACCTCACTGGGCTGAGCTACTACTACTTGGTAGTGTACAGTATCTACGCACATCCCAGCCCCCCGCAGTTTTCAAGGTGACTTCTTCCCCAGGGATAAGAAGTCACAAGGACGGTTGCGAACGACCCTTCACACTGAATTCCTTGTCCCCGGACAATGCCAGGGTTCAAGTGTCGGGGTCAGTCTTGATACTGTACACTCCGAACACCATTACTCTGCACGATTCGATACTGCAGTGGGAAGATTTGAAGGATTTTGGAGAGAATGGAAACACTGGAGTCGCAAGAGCCATCATGGTGCTTTTCCGGGGGCATCCACTCTTGACTGCCCTTGAAGGGACACCAAGGTATTCAACTCAGGCACTTCCCAAGCTGAACTCCAAAGCCCAGAACGGGGTCCGGCCCGGTCAACCCTGCAGTGTCACGTAGTGACGGGGAGGTCAGACCAGGGGCAGTCTTTGTCTGTTCGCCTTTTCGAGCGCTGAAGCTGTGAGACAGGTAGGTCAGTATGTTGTTGATCCCCTTTTCCTCCTCTTTTCAAAGGCTCTGGTGACGTTTAGACTGGCTGCTCGTGGACCAAGACGAGGCGTTAACAAGTTTGGAGCCGCCTCTTGTTACGATGTACGACAGCAAATCCACTACTGGCATACTTTGGTACCCATGCCGTACAACAACCTGCCAGTCATGATTCCCTAACCTACCAAAAACTCGTCAGGTCTGGACTCTTTGCACATCTTTCCACCACAATTTGCATCTTTTCATTGATGGCCAACGAGATACTCACATGGCCCCCAGACGGAGCCATCTTCTGCGTTTCTTAACCTGCACTACTTACCACCTTCCGATCAAGGACATACAGTATACTGTCGTATCGTCCCAAGATAGCCTCATTCTAGGTTCGACCTTCGTTTCCGCCCAACGTCGCAAAACACACCCTCAAGCACCCTATGCCAAGGCATAACCATCATTTAAGGACCTGGAGACTTCCAATGGACCGGGTCTTTCTTCATGGGGGAGACCAAGACCGATAAGATTGAAAAGACGACAGACGGCCCTTGCAAAAATACAAGAAAAGGTATTCTAACTGAAGAGATAGACGAGGGTCAAACATCGCAGAACGAAAACGAGCGCCCTATATATGCGGCCACTCAACAACATCACCATCACTTTGTCTAACAGCGGGACTATTACCAAGTGCAGCACTCATATCGACTCGCACGGCCGTACAAGTTACGTCTAACGACAGTTCTCAAATCCCCTCCAGAGCTGAGCGACATGCTTTTCCCAAGGATTTGCAGCCGTTGGGCCGATGCCAATGCCCGGTACCATGTCACGTATAACGATTTTATGCGTCGCCACTATACAACATGTAGCAGAGACGTCCTTGATTCTTTGACGCTCCAAAACAACGGTTTACAAATGTGTTTTGTGTATAGAGGGGAGCTACGGTAGCACGTGAAGGAGCTAGGTGAGGTGCTTAATTCCGAAGCTCTCGAAGCGCTCGAATTGTAACTCAGCACCGTCAATATACCCAGGGGAGGTGCAACTTTCGCCTCTACCAAGTTACTCTGGAAGTCTGCCCAGAGACTCAAAATGGAAGTTGGCTATTATTTTGCTAGTCATTAATAATGATAGTAATCACCGGGAGCGCATGGCATCAAGGAACCCAAGCTGGCTGGTAGCATATAAGGAAAAAAGAGACGGCAAGCCCTAACCCTTTCCCCATTCAGACACCACATACAACTCCTCCTTGCCCTATTTTCACGTCTGTTGTGAGGACGATAGCTGGACGCAAAGATGCGACTTTCATTGTCAATTAAAATTCATGATCCTTTCTCGACATATTGATGCCGCATCGCACCACTCCTACGGTGAGATTGCACATGACACTTACTCATCGATTGATTGGGCCCAATGGCTGCAGTCAACGTGGCGAGTGGAATTCTCCTGAGCCTTTTAGGCTGGCTCGAGGCTGTTTGGCGAGGTGGCTGTGTACCTAGGTATGGATGATCAACCTCAATCGAGGCCCAACGCGGGGCTCTCCGACCAAAACAAGGCTGCTGCTGTCGTGCTACGAAAGCAAAGGATAGGCCTTTTGCGACTCAATAAATATATTCCTCGGGTGAGCGGAGCCTCGTGATATTCCAAGCTTCTCCAGCTACATAGTGACTGAAACCACAATGGGTCCTCGTCTCGGAATTAGGATACTTTCTCCCTGTGAGTTTGACCTGGTTATGTACGTCAGCTCTTGTGGTTGTTTAAGCTAACATATTCGGGACTTAGCAGAAAAGGGGGCAAGCTGGGCGATTCATGAAAAATATGTTGATTGTTCGACATTGATTGACCTCTTACACCCTGAGTTTGGTGGCCTACCGGATCAATGCTACATGTCAGTCTAGCTGCGGATCAAAAGAAAATGGGGAAGAAAAATGAAAGCATTGGGCAGGGGCTGATCTATGTACCTCAGATTCATGCACAAAGATGACTACCCGTCCGTAAACGGAGGACGCGAAGCCCTCCTTGCCGCCCTCAACGTCCCCAGCTTCGTCGCCAGCAGGACCTGCTTCGAAGTGAACGGCTACGCAGGATGTCGACCAGTATTCGAAGAACCGCAGCAGACTAATAATCCCTTTGGGGAGCAAGACGCTACGCCTACACTCACATCCTGCACGACATGGTTCCACTATCTCGCAAAGATGGTCCGCAAAATTGACTCCTTCCAGGATGAGCAGAAACCTCACGACGAAGAGCCCGAATACGTCCCTGAAAACTCCAAAGAAGGATACGAGTGGTTCGAAATGAGCGTCTTCACCCGCTGGGATGCGCCAGGCAAATGTCGGGTCCTGTGTATCGACACTCCGCCTGATTTCCCTGAGCGCCTCAAGGATGCACTGCTGAAGAAGAAGAAGAGTCTGAGTCTCCCGGAAGCCGCCCAAGCAGACCCTTTCGCCCTCCACGCCGACCTCCTAGACATCATGATCGTTTACTCCGACATTTCCGTTTGGCGCGTGCGTGATCCGATCCGGCTCCTCGAAAAGTCGCGGCTCAATGGGCACGATCTGTTTGAGCAGATCCACGACCACGCAAGGCACGCATACCACTCGTCCGAGGTGCTGGAGGCGGCGATCCAGACGATCGAGCAGTTGGGAAGATATCAGCGAGATATTCATGAAAGTATTGCCCATGGACAGCGCAGTGGCAGTGGCAGTGGCAGCCGCTTGGGCTACAGCCTGACTCTGACGTACAGAGCGCAGGCGAGGGAGTATACGCAGTTTCAGATTTCGTTGGTGAAGAGTTTGAAGCTGAGGAGTGATTCGAGTTTGCAGAGGTTGAAGAACGAGGTTGGACTGGTAAGTTAAACCTTGCTTTTTCACTTGATCACGCATTTCTCAGGTTGTTTTTGCCGGTGGTGAACTTTTTGTGAGGACATGATGCTGATGGAAAACCAAAACCAAAACAGGCGTACAACAATATTGCCAGACAAGATAACAGCGTCATGAAGTCAATAGCGCTGTTGACCATGATCTTTCTGCCTGCCACTTTCATTTCGGTATGTCCCCTGGCGTAGTTTCTGAATTCCCTTTCAACCAGTCTTGACTGCCGTGCATCTTCAGTCCTCCGTCTCCTTTTTGAGTACCCATCGCCCCTTCCTCGCTTGAACTTGACTGTCCGCTAACCACCAGAGCCACGTGATGCCAGGCCCTCTTCAGCACCACTTTCTTCACGTACGGCGACAATGGCACATGGGAAGTCTCCGACGAGTTATGGATCTATTTTGTCACGACCGTACCAGCAACCATCGCCATCGTGGTCTTTTGGCGGGTATGGCTGGACTACGGTGATGTTATTCACAAGTGGTTCATGGGATTAGTGTTTCGAGCGTGGAAGGGAGCGACAAGGTCCGTGTCAAAGACGAGAACAAGAATTGCAAAGAGTCGGGTTGAGACTGATATGGAGGATGAGGTTGATCCAGCCAAATTGAGGACAGCAGCTACGGTATAGAATAACGGACCATGGGCATTTTGGGTAATTTCATTGTATCCATTTACATGAGGTAACCACCTCCATGTACCACAGTATCCTTCACTACCGTCTCTCTTCCAGTCTGATCTGCTCTCCGTATAAACCAGCACAGCATCCATCGAATGGTCCCAAAATGCGTCAATGAACTTCGGGGGGAGGGTTAAGAGAGATTGATGGCAGATCACAGCAAACCCAGGGCGATGCCCACAAAAAGTAGTTAGCATAGATCGAGAAACAACTTGAAACGCGCATTACTGTTTACATCCTTGTTTTCTTGAACAACGTTTACTTTCTAAAGTTCACGAGTACACTGTCACTCGATTAAACATTGGATGAAAGCAAGTTGGATGCCACGGTGACAGTACAAATCGTGTTAGTAGGAAGGCACCAAGTATTGTAGTCCAAGACTTCGCACAGGTCGTGGATAACACAACTGCGGATCTATTCATCTGTGATGGTTCACTTGCTGGCTGGAGGTTGCCCTGCTTACCATCATGATTTTTGCGATTATGGCTGGCCTCGTGAACCGTGAAGTAATCCGGTGGTGCCAGCGTGGGCGAGCATATGTACAGGTATAATTCGACCACCGCTTAGACGGGCAGAACGTCGTTCAGGCTGCGGGTCTTGCCTTTTCTCAGAAAACGATTCACTTGTATTTCCATTCACTCGTCCTGTCCTTCTGTTACTACCCCACTCCTTCCTCTCTTTCTGTCGCGTTTGGCTACTTCTT